GGGGATGGCGGCGGGCGCAGTGAGGGGTCCAGGGGGTTTTGGGAAGCGGTTTGTTATTTGGGGGGACGACTGCTAGGTGAACGTCGCGGGGGGGAGGGGTAGGGCTTGGGGTCACATGCTAGAGGGGATGTGGAGGGAGGACGATCGTCGGATATGATGCTCGGGGTCGACTTGTGGGGATATGCGGGCCGGTCGTGCAGCTTTAAGAGGGGCTGGATGGAACACTGTACCTATAGGCTCATGCTGTCTTCCAACTCGGACTGGCACCATCATGTCAAGGATAATCAAGAAAAACTGGTAGGTTCGCCAAATTATGCATGGCATACTCCAACATTTAACGCAATGGGCTTAGATGTGGTCGATACAATAACTCAATTTTTGCTCGAATCCCGGCTTGCTTTTCGCGGTCCCTAGCCGTCAAAGAGTGCGCCAATGGGGATGGCGGGGGAGTGTTAGTGTGAGGCTTGGTGGGTGTAGTGTGTGGTGTGCTGTGGTGGGTGAGGGCTGTGGGCGTGCACGCAAGGAAGTTCATTAGTCGGCCAGGGTATATTTAAGGGTGTCGTTGTAGGGGGGGCTCGTACGACTGGCAGGGCACGGGTGTGGGGCGCGGAGCACTTTGGTCCGTGGGTTGCATTAGGTTGTGGGGGTTTGTGCCTCTTCTGCATGGGCGCCCAAGTTGGGGATCGTGGGGGAGGGGGTTGGAGTGAGTATCCTAATGGAACGGTGGATGGGGATGGTTGCGCATGAGAATTGTGGGGCGGACAGGATACTTCTTAGTGGTGTAATGTATGTAGGTTTCGTCAAAGCGGTGAATACAGCAGTGGGGGGAGGGGGCTCATCTCGGTTGCCACTGATTGTGGGGCTTTATTTATGGGGGTATAGATGGGGTTGGGATCAGACCTAGTTGGGTTTATGGTATGAGGTACGGGGGTCTAGAGTGGAGTGTATGTTGTAACTGTTTCATGGATTGTCTACTGTGGCACATAGGATGGGGTGGTTGTGAACGTGCATGTAGGTATACCACGGTGGAGTACTGTGTGGGTTTTTGTATGAATGGTTTTTGAGAAATATTCTAGGTGTTTGATACATCGCAGAAGTATAAGGTATATGGATCTTGGGGTTTGATGATCACCGTGGTCTGGGGGGCACTGTGTTGGGTTTTATCATTGCACACAACATGCTGGGTTGATGATGGGTAACTTTGAGTCCGCGGTTGGTCTGGGGATGTTATAAAGGGGGACCATGTTTGCTTCTGGCGGTTGCTTCGTGGGGGGTTGGGTGTGGTTTTTGTGGTGGGTGTTGAGGTGTGGGGGTTGGACGGGTGTGGGGCACGGTGGATGCCGGAGTGGAGTAGGGTGAGGTCTATTGGGTTTTTATTGGTATTTTTTGCGGGAATGGTTGGTTGGGGGATGGCCTGGTTGGTCGGGGGACATTTGGGGGGTGAGGAGCTATTTTATGTTGGTGGGACGATCGGGGGTGGGGGGGCTTGGGGGGGGTCTTTAGGAGCGTTGAGGGGGGACGGGGTTGAGGGTGAATTGGATTGTTTGGGCGGAGGGAGGGTGTGGTGTTCGGTTGGACGGGCACCGGGGGGAAGGGTGGTCAGGGGGCCAGCGGGGTTGGTCGGTCGTTCGGGCGGCAGAACGGTCGCTTGGGGCGTGCGGTAGCTTGGGGGCCGGAGGGTATATACGGGGACGCCAGACTTGCTGCGAAGGTGGGCCTGGCGAACTGCGGACCGAATTCGGTTGCTGAAGGCAGTTTAAGTGGTGTGTGGCTGGGGGATTGGGGGCTGTTGTGTACGTAGTGGCCAGCGGGGGGGTGTGGGGCGCTGATTGTCGGGTCTCTGGGTGTGACGGGCGCGCGGGAGGCGCTGGGGTCGTGCGAGGATAGTAAGTACTGGGGAAGGTGTTTGAGGGATGTGTAAGAGTCTACTGGCGGGTGACAACTTTATGGCATTATTCGTAATTATCTATGTGGGGTCGACCGGGGTGGCACTGGGTTGCACTGTATCAGGCTGAGAGGGATGGGGGGGAGGCGCGGCCCCTGCGGGGGGCACTTCGGGGATGTCTGGTGGTCGGGTGGGGGCACGATTAGGGGGGTAGGAGGAATAAACGAGGGTTTTAACAATTTATGGGGGGGTTGGATGTTTGCAAGTCATCAAGATCCATGGCAGCCGGGGGGGCTGAGCGAGCGGGCAGCCGAAGAAGGCGGGGGGGGAGGCGTCGTGAAGTGGTGTCTAACTGTTGTGGGGGTGGAGGGGGTGGGTGGGCAGGCGTGGGTCCAACTCATGTTTGGGTTTACGTGTCGAAACCGTGCGGACTACGTAGAGATACGGGCAACCATGCCAGAAGCCTCACATCCGAACCGCATCAGGTGTCATGTGCTTTCTCAGGGCAACTGAGCAACGTGCAAGGGGGCGGGGGGCAGGGGCGGTCCCAGTTGCAAGTTATGTCTGTGGACACGCTACCATGGGGTAGTGACCGTTATTTAAAGGCGTCGAATGAGATGTCATGATGTAAGGGGGTCTGGAGGCTGAGTAACCTAAACCTACTCTCGAAAGTCTATTCTGAAACATTAATAAAATGGCTTCTCTAATTAGTTTTAACCAGTATTAAGTTGGCACATGGTATAATTACTTACGGAGCGGGATTGTGCCTCCGGCGCTATGGGGGGAGACCCACATGAAGGCGCTACGCTCACTTGAACGTGCAGGCAGGCTCGCGGAAGTAAATGCCCCTTCATGGTGCACGGTTTACGCCGCTCGGTAGGGCGGACGACGAGTATATCTTGTCGTTTGTGTGGCTGGGGTAGTGGATAAGCGGGTTTGGTTACAGTGGTGTTGGGGGCCTTCATGACATTATTTGCCATAGCGAGTTATGTAGCAGGGAGGGGCGTTGAGTTTACACGGGGGATTGTCTTGCTGCCGGATCTTGGTTTGGATTGGACCAACGCGGGGGGAGGTTGGGGGGGGGTTGGGGGTCGCGTGACACGAACGTTGTTATGAGATTGCTGGACATTTGTGTTCGGACGGAGATGGATTTAGGGGCGTGCATGGTCACACACTGACGGGCGGTAAGTAGGGGGCGGGATGGGAACTATTTGGGGTGTTTAGGGAGGCATGGTAAGGGGCGCTTAGCTGATCAGGGAGGATGGGAGGGGGCGTTGGTAGGTAATTTGGGACGCGAGGTACTTGGGGGGGGGTAGTGGATATGGGTAAGATTAGTGATTTATAAGTAAGGCGATTTTGGCTGTCTTTTTGATCAACTTTGTATAATAAGGGTTCAGTATGATAGGAATTATAACTGAATGCACTGGGCATGCTATTTATTATTATATCGCTTGAAGCTGTAAGATTTGTTTTTACCAAATAAATAAACAGCTTTCCTTTTTTGAGTATCTTAGGGGGCGTTAAGTTGGCCCAACACAAATAAGATCACGGCCTTAATATGTATGTATATATATTTGTGCAGAAGTCAAATATGAGATGAGATTACTGAAACTGGATAAGGCCTGTGGTGTAGATAGAATTCCCCCAGCCCTCTACAAATTCGGGAGACCTGCTCTTGTGGATACTTCACACTAGTTGCTAATGGGACTTCGGGAGCAAGAAACTGTCCTGACGGAATAGAGTCGCTCCGTCCTAGTCTCAATTTTCAAGGGAGTTTATTGTTCGGAATGCGGCAACCATAACGGGGATCAATCTGATCTTAACTGCCTCTAAATGTATTGCCTATATCGTTCTCCACAGACTGACTGGCGCTCTTGAAGACCAGATCTGCAAAAAGCAAGCCGGGTTTCGTCAAAATTGAGATTGCATCGATCACTTCTGCACTTTGCGTTAATTGTTGGAGTAATGCCATGCTTATTGGCGACCCACCGTTTTCTTGTTTCTTGACCTCAAGCTTGCCGTCGAGTTGGTTGACCGATGTGCCTTTTGAGACTGCCTAATGAGAATGTTTCGCGCTATAACAATGCGAACATTATAAAATCTGGTCAGTAGAGCAGAAATAATCTGCTCGCATGGTACAGTTGCAAGTGAACTACAGCGAATAGGCTCATTGCTGTGGAAAAATTGTTATCGAGATCAATTTACAAAAGTCCACATGGCAAAGAGCATGAACACACCGCTTGTTTTAACAATTAACAGAAAAGCGATTGTTATGCAACTGTTACGAATGGGAAATTGCCTCAGAAATTCTTAGTCGTCGTCTTTCACAGGAGCTCCGACGTACGTACCCAACAGCAAAAATACTTAATACTTTCCCAGCACACCCACGGTGAAGCTCAGCCTCAAGGATAATAGACCCATCCACGACAACTCTATGTGCATATATTCATGTTCCTGTTCCCGTGGTTCAGGATATAGTGGTCGTACGACTTGATGCCTATCCGAGAGAATGAAGGAGCACAGTCCAGCATGGCTAGCGACCGAATGCCGAAGGGTTTGTAAAACAGACATAGCTGCCCACTTTTCCGACATAGACAACAACCCGAGACCAGCCGAAGCATTACAAATTATCTACAACGCCCCGGATAATAGATCGAGGTATATGCGCAGACGGCTACTAGAAGTCGCTGAAACTAAAGCAATCCGGTCGTACAAACCAAAGTTGTGCACTCCAAAGCGACATTGACCAGATTATTGGCAATAGCTGACCTCTTGTAAACTAGTTTTAGTCCGTTTTAACCACTCAGTAGTCTATCTAATCGATGCCATTGGTATACAGTTGTAGTAGCAAGATGAAGAATTAGCGCAAACAAATGTTCGCTAACATTGACTTTTGATTAACAAAGTGCTGTACGCCCAAAGTTCCGGCAGAGTGAGGGTTTCTGGAGAACTATCGCCGCCCTTCATTAAATCCAGCTGTGTGATACAAGGTTGCCCGCCGTCAACTTTTCTGTTTAACTTCACTAATTATAAAGTCATGGAAACAGCGTTTGGTGGACACGACCTAGGTGTGGACCTACTTCCTGGTGAACGACTTCTTTACTTTCAGTATGCGGACGACATTCCCTCATCTGTGATAACGCCCAAACATGCCAGGCCGCACTAGATCAATTAGCACTGGCTACCAATCTTTTGGGCTATGCTTTCCTCCATTGGAATGCAAAGTTGTTTTTCAAGCTTGGCAAGGACCCGCTCCCGCGCTGACTCTTGGCGGTGATCAGCTAAAAGTCGTTTAGGAATTCAAGTACCTACCGCCCGTAGGATTGAAGATATAAATATGAAGCGTATAACAAAAGCTCGCTTTGCTTTTGCTAATTTCCGCCACCTGTGGAGTAGACGAGACATCACTCTCTCCATGAATGGCAGAGCGTATAATTCAGCCTTCGTTCAACCCTTTTACAGGGTTGTGAACCTTAGCCCATCAGGTCGATACATAGAAAGAGGCTGGTTACTTTCTATCATAGCTGCCTTCGCAGCTTAGCTAGTGTCTGGTGAGAGTATAGCCTGATCAATGAGCTTGTTCGGCGAAGGGTATTTGGTGCAAGAAGAGCAAGTGAACCGCTCAGTACCAATTTAGCACGCGACAGGATCCGATGGCTGGGCCATGTATTACACATGCCAGTTCACCGACTCCCGGGACGTGCATATTTTGCGCGCTCAGAATTAGATTGGAAGTGAAGAGGGTTGGCCACGCGATGAATTAGTCGAGTGAAATGAAAACCCTCACTTCAAGTTGGCCTCGGTTGGTGCATCCCGACTGTCTGACTGGAGTCCTAAGGACCCTAATCACGTTTGCATAGACACACTTGCTGATACGGCTGCGAGTCAGTCCCAGTAGCATTTGCGCTGTGAGTTACTTTGTCCATCCGCCTCCTGGTTAAACACCAACTCCCACCAAAATCTATTTCGTTAGGCGTAATATAACTATATTTTGAGACACGACAGCCGGCTGTTAGCTATCCGGAACGATGTCCATCCGTTCCTGGGACTTGGCTGGCGTGATTCCCTAAATGTTTTCTTGTTTCCGTATTGCGACACAAAAGCTGGTGTTTTCCACCTGCGGCTAAAGTCTATAATGAAGTTGCTGATGATGCATCCTTAACAAAGTAACTACTTCTTTTTCAAGTACGCCGGAGCATTTATCACTGTTTGTTTGAATGTTTCTGCTCTTTATGTGGAGAAACACGGGCAGTGAAGCTGAAATTTTAACGTCGCGCATCTTACAAAAATATCTAGAAATTTTGGCGAACATGTTTTGACACAGCAAGGTAGTTTAATGATGAAACTGTCGATTCCTCTCTGGCGACAGTTATAGTATTTTATTAATTAGGAGACGGAGGATAAAAAAGTATATAATATTTCCTTTAACATCACTGGGTCAGGCCATTATATCATTGGATAGGAAAAATTAAGAAATTTGGTAACATAAGTGCCATCAAATTTTCGAGCACAAGCCTTCTTATAGGTGCATCCAATATATAATATATCGCATCTTACGACAAAAGTGATCGGTTTCATGTCATTCTAATCCATGGTAATTCGCTGCGAAAATGTTCCAATTAAAATTTGCGTTGAAAGTTATATTTGGATAACAGTGAAGATGTGCTAGAAGTGTTATTTATAAATTAATAACTTTAAGTGGTCGCATTATGTAAACGTGGCTAACTGCATTAGTGACACTGTGCGGATCAACAAATCTTTCGATCCAAAACTTGTATG